TTTTCAGTACATTGCATTTTCTAGGTAGGCAATTCTATTTTCTACAGCTAGTGATATTCTTGCCTCTTTTTTTTCTAATATTCATAATAGAAATTCTTTTCTCTTGTTTCATTGCCTTGGTTAGACGTAGAATGATATTGAAGAGTAACTGATAATAAACATCTGGTCTTAATGGGGATGTTTCAAATGCTTCATCTTAAGTGTGATGATTGCTCTATGTTCTGGCAGACATCATTTGTCAGCTTAAGAAAGTTTCCTTGTGTTTTTTAAAAATTATGAGTGGATGTCAAATTTTATCCTGTTCTTGGCATCTATGGAACCGAAATGATCATACAGCTTTTCTTCTTTAATCTGTTAAGATAATGCATGTGGCCAATCATTTTCCTATTAATGAATTAATTATTTTCCTATTCTGAATCACCCTTCAGTTCCTCAGTGAAACCCTAGTTAATGCATTTTTCTTTTTAATATTGTGGGACTTGATCATATTTTATTTAGGATTTTAAAAATCTAGGCTTGGAAGTGATATTCTTGTATTATTTTCCTGTTTGCCATCTTCATCTGGTTTTGTGAATGTGATTTTTCATTAATGGTGTTGATTTAAAGGCGCAGGCACGGACAGAGAAGTGGCCATGCTGAGGAAGCTCCAGCTCTCCTTGTTGGTCATCTTGCTGCTTTCCTGTGGCTTCCTCTACCAGCTCACCGTGAAGTCCAGCTATCACTTCTCCTGCCTGCCTCCCTACAAGTCCCAGCAGGAGCCAGAAGCCCTCCTGGGCAAGGGACGCAGCATTGTGTTCCTAGAGACCTCTGAGAGAATGGAGCCACCCCCGCTGGCCGCCTGTGCTGTGGAGTCGGCTGCCAAGATTTACCCTGAGCAGCCTGTGGTGCTCTTTATGAAGGGTCTCAGCGATTCCACGCAGCTGCCCCCAAATGCCACTTACCCAGCCTTTTCCCTCCTTTCAGCAATAGATAACGTTTTCCTCTTCCCTTTGAATATGACAAGGCTGTTTAAAGACACACCATTGTCTTCATGGTACACTCACGTAAGTGTTCAGAGAATCTTAGAATGCCAGTGTTGGGAGGGACCACAGAAAACGATTCCAATCTACTCATTTTATAGCTGGGTAAACTCTAAATCAGTGTTAGAGATGGGACTAGAACCCAGATCCTTTGACTCTTGCCTGGTCTTCTTTCTATGGTGTTGAGTTCTGATTCAAGTAAACTGGAGAGACATAAGTTAAGCTTATCTATAGCCTGGTGTCTTTTGCTTCCAGCTTTCTACCTTAGGATCTAGCATACTTTTGAGACTGTTTTTAACTGAATGAGTTGCTATATCTTTTCTAGGTGTACAGGCCCCTTATTTTTCACTGAGAGTTTTAAACCCATCCATGTTAAACTTTTTTTGCACCTGAGGGGGGAACTAGGAAATATTTAACTTGAAAATTATGTAAATAAAAAAAATCCATAAAGGATCAGGTGGAGTGTGGCTATATGAGATTGTGTTATATTAAGATATGATCAAGAAACTCCTGGAGCTCTTAGGAGTTTTGTAATCTTTATTTTAGTAACATAGCATAATAAGGAAATAATGTTTTAATTAAATATTTCTCTCACAGAGGACTCACAATCAGGTAATGCATAAGGAAATTATAATATAGCCACTCAATAATTCCATTATGAGGCTTTATCTGTGGCATTTTATGAAGACTACAAGATGAAATTAAATATTCTTATATTATAATGTAATTATAATTACTTTAGCTGTGCAACCTCCCAGCCCTACATCTATATGGAAGCAGAAGACCTGAAGAAAATACACAACACACAGTATAGTAGGTGTTTTAATATGATTAGATGAGAAGTGAATTTAGTGATGAGAATATGTTAATTTTATAAATAAAATTATTTTAAAAAGTAAAAAATAATTTAAAAATTGACATCAAGGGCCGGCCGAGTGGCTCAGTTGNTGCAATGAACTGCGCTGTCCAGCTATTTCATCTGCATTCGTGTAAACCCAGGCCCCCAGTCTTCCTTCCAGCTTCAGAACAGTGGTGAAAGGAATTGGCAACGTTGATAAGGTATCACTTTGTGCATTGTTTTTGCGCTAATAGCTGAATGCTTTAACAAGTTTATCAGTCCCACTTGCTTAACAAATATGT